TTCTGCCTTCTATCTAACGCAGTTTGCAGTGAATTTTAAACACAATCGCCCAGGCAACCTCACAGGGAACAATGTCACAGGGCTTTGATGAAGTTTCCTGCACAAATGTCATTAGAAGCTCTGCTGAGGAAGTGCAGCAGCGGCGCTCCTCTTGCTTATTTGGATAAAATCCTCAAAAAAGGAAAATGTGAAAATACATTAAAGAAAGAGAAATGTGAAGATTTTGATCCATCTGATGTGGAAGTAAATCAACTGAGGCACTTTCTCATTAACGCAACTTTGTTTGATCATTTGGGAAAAAAAAGACCTTTTGCAGTTTTATGAAAGAAAACAAGCTGCCAGTAAACAACAATGCGAACTACATTAATGTTTTCCATCTGGCTTAGGTTATTTTACTCGTGCAGTCAAATGGGCATGCTTAAGGTTGAGTGAGAGAGGCTACCCGAGGAGCTGAAGGGGAGGGACAGACCCAGGCAGCCTGCTGCGTTCAGGGTTGGCGGGCATGGAAGAGGAGCCAGTGAGCTGTTAAAATCAGCCTTATCGCTGCTCTATCAAAGGATGGCTGTCTCGCCAAATCACGGCTGCATGTAGAGCTCAACACATTCAGGTCAATAAGCTTGTAGGCGGTTTACACAAACAACTCCTCCAGCAAGGTAGCAGCAAAGTCATATCGGCTTTGTCTCAGCTAAGAAAACATCATTTACTTGTGTGTGACTTTAGGAAACTCAGAGCGCTCTAATCTTGACCACTGACTCGAAAGAGTCCACGTCTGAAAATGAGGTCCACATGTGTTTAGTAAAGGTATTGTCTTCTGTACTTCTAGAAGCAACAACATTCTAGATGATTCATGACCTGAACAAGCTGTCGCTATTCCCAACACTACTGGAGCTTGGGAATGATTTTCAGGATATTAGGTTGTTGCCGCCCTCTTCAGTGCTAGTCAGCTGATATTGCATATATGGTTGTTGATGCAGATTGTGCAGCAACAGATGAAGTCCATTTCAGAAAGCAACCTTTTTTCACTAAAGTCAAGCATAGCTGTAAAACTTCTATCCGAGAATTCGGTCTGGATCCCATGCAGACAGAGCACTCTAACAAAGGGAGGCCATTAGAGAAATGCCTCAGCACTGTCTCTTTAAATGCCAATAAATTCCCATCATTACAGAATCTGGCAGTTTTCCTCGCTGTCTGCAGCCCGGGTCTTTATCTTACTCAGCCTCAGTCTTTGAGCATGTAGATCTGGCCCAGTTAGATTGTCATACTTAACAAACATTAATGATTAATTTCCTCCACTGAGTCAAATGGGGCTAAAGGGATGACTCGATTCATCTTATCGCACCACAAATTAGCATTTCCCCATATTCTCCAGCATCAACTGTGCATAAAAAATCCACATTTACCATTCCGGGCACTGGCAGCTGAAGTGAGAGAACCAAGGAGATATTCTCTCTGTGTTGCTGGAGATTCAGATTACTTCTGTGTTATACAAAGACTAATTAATTCTGAGAATCCACTTTATGACTGACTGAAGCAAGTGAAATTCCTCACTTAGAGGATATTGAAGGGTCAAGGTGGGCTATTTAATTTGCTGTGTTAAGTCATGCAGCTCTTGCTTTCACCAATCACTCATTTTGCTGTGATTAAATGGTTTTGTCACAATGTAATTTCTGTAAATCATAGAGGAAAGAACACAAAGGTGCAAATGTTGACATTCAGCTGTTCTTGAAATATCTTGACTCATAAAAAACAACAATATCAAGCTGTTTGAGCCAAAAAATGTATAATTTATTACAACTTCCCCAAATATTTCTTTTTTACACATTGAGGCTATGAGACACATGAACTGAAATGTAAATTTACCATCAGAGCAAAGAAAGGAAGTCATTTGTCATCAGACAAGACTTGGAACGCTAAAAGGGAACAGCTTGTGGCAACACCCTGTGCTGAACTTCTCATATAGCCAACAATAAACCAGGGGGTGAAACAGCAAGGTGAAATTTCACAATTACAGTAAAAACAAGAAGGTGCTGCTAAAAAGGCATCTTTCCTCCCATAATGGATCCAGGTGTGTCAGTAGAGAATAAATCTTTGCTCTGGATTCAGTGTTCTGTATGTTTTTCATATAAGAAAGGTCTATAAATGTGAAATTGAGAGGAGGTTATTTGAGGTAAAAATCTTGTTGACACAGGAGGAGGAAGGTTATTATTTTAGATGTCCTTTTTTTCTTCATGAACTTTAAAAATGAAGACAAGCCTCTTTTATAACAGGTTTACACTCTCCGCAAGGTGTTGAGGTTTATTTCACAAGTTAATTGTAAGTCAGATACTTTTGAGGCCTTTTCTTTGTTTCTGTATGAAACGTAAATGCTTATTTTACCGATTGTAGGTAGCTTTCTGAATCATATCTGTTGGGAGAAATTATGTTTATCCCACGGAAATGACAGGCTAACGGCTAGTCTGAGCACAGCCAAAATCAACATTCATCATTTCCATGTTAAATCTTTTCCCATCTTCGATATTTGAATGTAGATTATTTAAATGCTTGTGCACAGCCCTTTTCACCTGTGCCAGTTTTACATGACACAATTATTTGTGAAGGTTTTATGATATTTTTACAGGGTGCACCAGATGTGATACAGCTAGCTGCTGTTAGTCGTATTAGCTTAAAGTTCTTAATTAAGTGGTAAACAAAAAGTCTAATCTTTTATAAAATATATATTTGCTACGAATAAATATGCATTTCCGTGGTTTGTATAGAGTAGTAAACGGAGTCTTCCAAGTAAAAAATGTCTGCTAAAAACAAATTTGTGATAAATTATTCTGGAAATTTTAAACATATTCAAATGAAATAATAAATAAATTATTATCTTGTTTGGACTCCCAAAACAAACAACTAGAAATTAGGATTTTATTGTATAACTAAATAAAAGCAGTTAAACTGAGAGGGGAACGGCACATTTAACTAACCAAGTTATGAACTCAACCACTGGCAGACATTAAGGTTCCTCGTCTGAGACCAAAATGGGACGCCAAGGTGCTCCACGCACTTATCTGGGGAGTCCCTTTTCTGCAAGGGTAAGGCAAATGGCTGAGTCTTTGGTGGCATTCAACTTCTTGACCTTTGCGCCTCTAAGCGGCTTTGCTACTTCACCGCTCTCTGATCAAAGTTAATAAGTGCTTCATATGTTAATGAAAATTGGTACTCCTCATTGTGTTCCTACAGCTTTTTAATACCTATTATAGACTGAAACTTTTAATGGAGGTTTTAGGTCCCTTTGACAAGCCCATTTCAGCAAGTGACTACACAGATACAAGGCTAAGCTAAGACCGGAGAGCCACTGCTCAGTGGAAGAACCTCACACGGGAGACCTTATTCTCCGGGAAGCAGCAGAAGATAAAGGCCATGGGATGAGTGGCTGCCTTAAAACCCACGTTCAAGTCTGCACAGGGCTAATTACAGCATGCCATCACATTTGAGAGGGTTTTGTTAATCAAGGGGCTCTCTTTTTTCGCCTATAGTCGAGGAATAACACACTTAAACCATTTAATGCCACCAGGATTGCATCCTGTTTAATTCAAAGCTATTTCACATAAGTGGGGTAAATTTAAGCCACTATGACATTAGTTTTAAACAGATCTAAATGAGAAAGGGATCATGGGGGAAATGGCTACACCTGAAGATTGCAGTAAATTCGTCACATGGAAGAATGAATAGTGGATGGTACATCATTTGGGTCTTAGAAGGCAATGGAGGACTTAGCTACTGTAGGCTTAGATAGCAAAGTAGTACAAAAAATCTGACTGCTAAGGCTCGTGTCTGACAAGGAACAGATTACCATTGCCTATGGAAAGTAGGATTTGACATTTGGGATTGTTACGTTGTGTTGATTTTATTCATAAACACGGAACAAAGATTTGAGTTCCAGTCTCCGGTGGTTTTATCCAAAACAAAGGGAGTATCACATGACAAGGTCTTTGAAGATTTTCAGAAGTTTTCTACTTTCTCTCTTACTTTAACCACCGTTATGCACTGCGGCATCTTTTTCGTAGCTACTGGCTTAATTGAGCACCACGTGTTGTACTTTGAAGTTTTAGCCACCAAGACGTCGGCAGTAATTGCAATTTCTAAACAATTGTGCCGTTCAACTTTTACCGGAGAACAAAAGGAAAGCATCATTGATACGATTGCCAGGGCAAAGCCTATACCTGAAACATGAAATTTTTATTTGCTCTTGAATAATGCAATCCCACGAGGCACGTCAGTTTAGGGGTGTGGAGAAGTCATTCTAAACAAATTTCCCTTTGGGAAAGGAGGAAGAAAAGGCAGACATTCAAAGCACTGGTACTTCATTAAAAAGTGAGATTATAAGGAATCCGTGTGCCAATAAGAGCGGGGGGCACCTGGGGTAGCAAAAACAACACGACCGGAGGGGAGGAAGAGGGGATGGAGGCGTGTGTCGGGGTGGCGGGGGGGTCTGTCATCTTCACACTGTAACCTGAAGGAGACCACAAATTAGCTCCTGTGATGGCAAGGTGTGACTGAACTGAAACAAACATACAAAGAGGAAATCTAATTGAACTGAGTTCAAAGAGGACTGGAACACATTTGACTGGAACACATTTGATGAAGTGAAGGTTCTTTATAGTTCTGGACCTCCAAGCAGCAGCGAGTGCTGTTGGGCTTCTGCAACGGCTCACAGGGGAGAGCTGCTTTCTCTAGAGTATCGGTGTAGCGCAGCATAGCTTCAGAGTGCTATCACAGAGAAATCTACCTCTCAGATCAAACCAGTGCTCTTGGATGAGATCAAATATCAAAATGAGAAGCTTCATCTCAAGGAGAAATCCTCAGAGGCATCCGAGTTCTGCCAAATTTTATCTGAGCTCATTGGCAGGAGTTTTGTTTTTGGTTAACATTATTTTCTTATTTTAGGCACCTGTTTGGATTGAAATCTCATGGCAGGTGTTAGAAATGCAACTCAAGTGTGATTTTCAAGCCCTCACCTTTGTTGCAGAAGTACTCCATGTCTTCACAGCTCATGTTCTCAGTCTCAAACTCGGCTGTGAAGTTCTCCTCCACTGAGAACTCATCCTTGGCCAAGAGCTCATTCTCCTCAGAGACACACTCCTCCTCCTCATCCTCCAGGCCATCTTCCAGAGGACCTGAGGGGAAACACACACACACACACACACACACACACACACACACACACACACACACACACACACACACACACGAGAAATGTTCAGTAATTTCATCACATCCTTCAGGCTTCCAAGAATAAAAAGCCCTTTTTCGAAACCGCCGATCCAGATGCAATTCAGACATTCAGCATCGACGCAGGAAATAATCTAATAAATACAATTTTACAACTGTTTTTTCACAAAGTATTTCTGCTGCAGCTGAAGCAGAAGCCCTTTGTGACTGTGTGTTTCTGAAAACCCAGGTTGACATGCAGCCAAGGTGATAGTTGATGTTAATCCCGTTACCTGCTAAACAAAACCTCGCACAGATGAAGGGGGGGTGGATAAAAAACGGATCTTTACTAGACTTCTCACAGGCATCGGCAGGGGAGAAGGAAAGAAAATGCTTTTATTAATTTGTTAGCCTTATCACAAGGTACAATGTTGATTTTCCATTTACATTCCATGCCTCCAGGTAATACACCAGTGCAATCTTAAAGGAGACACTTTTCTGTGTGATTAATTTCCCCCCCCTCTGTGCAATATTATTTCTTTAAATCTAAATGATTTCAGAGTTTTGCTTGTAGCTGTACATCTCGTTTGGTATTTGCATATTGCCATTTTTTTTGCTTCAATCAAGGCTGCTGATGGAATTACTGTACTGCTACCTGAATTGTATTAGTTGTGAAAAACATTCACCCGGCATTTGAATGTTATTAAGATAATGTGCATCTTACACACCTTTCTGTTTCACCCCAGTGTGTCTTGTTGTGAATTACTACAGTTGCAGAGGTTGGTTTATCACAAATAAACAGCAGAAAAGCAGGAATTTAGAAACATTTTTCTACAACAAATCTTTGCTTTTATGTAGAATTTAGAGCTGATAATCATGTAAAATGTTGCTTTATTTAGAAAAACTGTGTCAGTTTGATTCTGTCACACATCAGCTGAGCAGCAGCTTCTCGTTTATCCTGCAGCTCAGACAGAGCGCGCTTACAGCCTCTGGTTTCAGCATGTTTGTTCTGCTGCAGCAGGAGTGAAGCTCTCAGCTTTAATAAAGCAATAATTTCAGCACAGAAATTGGAGGGGGGGGGGGGCTGGTTCACCTCTCCTGTTTCTCTTTCTTCTTACACCAAGCCTCATAAAAGACCCCCCCTGATGTCCACAAACGGCCTGCTCTTTTCATTAGTCTTATAAATGACTCCTTTGTGGAACCCAACATCTGCAGGAGCCCTGGACATGAAAAGAATTAGCGCCCAGATCTCTAATAGACGCTGCAGAGGCCCGAGTGCTGCTTTTAAATTAGGATACAGTTTCACGATCTTATCTGATGCCTTCTGCTGATTTGCAGAGGAGTGAAGTGAGGCGTGAAGCGACTCGATGAGTCTACTATCGCTCAGGATGATACAGAGAGATAAATATCGCAGTATGGGGGGGGGGGGGGGGGGGGGGGCATGACTGGCGTTAAAAGCTTCTGCCAAGGCAAATGAAGACAGTGTGAAAGAAATACATTTCTATACACACTGTCTGTACACATTCCATTACACAGCTGAATGAGAACCGTGTGTACAACTAAATGAGTCTCCCTCTGTTGGCGGCACATACAGCGGCACTATTGCTGTGAGGAAAATAGACTTACAGTGTTGTGCGATAATAAGGGTAAAGGGAGATTAAAGATAAACTTCATGGTCAATAAGACACAAAGATTAGGTGGATAAGATGAGATAGAATTGAGGTTTAATGGACTCAGAATAAGGGCATCTCACTTCCCCACTCTAGCAGATAGTAACTAAATGGAGCTTTTTCAGACTGACGGAGATACTGGAGGCCTTCCTGAAGACGGAGAAATGAAGTATTCCACCTAGAGACATTTAAGGGGGCCTGTTGGCCACTTCTTGAGGGCCACGTAGTTTGCTAAAGTTCGCTCGCATCCTCACATGTTTAGTTCATTATACAGTATTCATTGCATGGAGAGACCTGAAATTATTTCAGAGACAGCAATGATAAGAATAATGACTTTCTAAACGACTAGCACCACACTCCTAACTCATTTTCTGATAGTGGCGTTCCTGCTATATTTAGTTGTGTACTGTTTAAAATCCTGTCACATTCACTGTGTGACCCACGCTCTGCTGACAAACTGGGCCAGAGGAACATCTGCTGCCTCTGCCTCTTATCGAGCCTCCTCGGGAGTTTAGATGGCCAACGACACCACAGAGAGAGCATGTGTGTTTCACTTCATCACAGAGAACCACACACACACACACACACACACACACACACACACACACACACGCACTCAAGACTCGTAGCAGATTTGATCAAATTCCTCAGATCTGCTTTAAAACATTTTAAACAATCAAAAGACTGATTGTGAGTCATCCTGTTTAAAGGTTTAAATGAACTAACACACACTAAATGTTGGAGATAAATTTATTTTATTATTTACTTTCACTAAAATTCTCTTTCTGTTATGCGTACAAATGCTGTTGTTTTTACTAATGCAGATTTTAACGTCTGTGAATAGTCACAGCAGTGCAGTGAGACACAGACTTGTTTATGTGCACTGCAGTGTTTATTACAGGTTTTAACCAAAAACCATCCGCTTTTTTTACCCTTTTTTTTAATTATCATTTCAGCTGAATCCCAGCAGTTTAGCACATATTTGATCATGCAAGTGAAAAATCTTAAATGAAAAAAAATCTATTTTGTTTGTTCAAGTTTGGCTGTTTTCATGTGTTTTTTTGTTTTGTTTGTTTGTTTGTTTGTTTTAAATCAGTTTTTATGTCTTATTTGTTTAAGCGCGCAGACCTCTGGGCAGCATTGACTGGTGGTTTGAAGGTGTGCTTTAAATAAATAAATGAAATAAATGAAATTAAAATAAAATACTTTAACTCATGAACTAAACTCTGGAGGGAACATTTTTAGATTTTAACGCTTTTACTAGCAGGTCAGCACTTTGTAAGGCACTTGTGTTTTACTAAACTCTTACTAAAGGATGCACATTTAAAACAACTATGAACACTAAACTGAAAGGTTTACAAGCTATGGGGATTTTTGAATAAAAAACTGATAAACATTGTTTACCTCAAATGATCAAAACTTGATCATTCATACTATCATTTTTACATTTCATTGCATTATATGTTACCATTATTTCCTCAAATAACTAAAATATGAAAATGAAGGACCATTTAAGAGTCTGTTTGGTGCTTGGAACTTATCTGAGAATGTTGTGGATTTTGGGAGGGAATGGTAAATGGTAAATGGCCTGTATTTGATATAGCGCCTTCTAGAGTTCCTGGAACCCCCCAAGGCACTTTACAACACAATCAGTCATTCACCCATTCACACACACATTCACACACTGGTGGTGATGAGCTACGATGTAGCCACAGCTGCCCTGGGGCGCACTGACAGAGGCGAGGCTGCCGAGCACAGGCGCCACCGGTCCCTCCGACCACCACCAGCAGGCAAGGTGGGTTAAGTGTCTTGCCCAAGGACACAACGACAGCGACAGACTGAGCGGGGCTCGAACCGGCAACCTTCCGATTACAGGGCGAGCACTTAACTCCTGTGCCACCGTCACCCTAAATGTGACTAAATGTGAAAAAATGAGGGTACATTGTTTGCAATTACATGATGTCTCGACATGATACAGGACTGCACAAAATGTGTTAAAGATCAGTGTGTGAAATGTAATTTTCATAAAGGACTGTAACAATGATTAGCCTTATATTTTTAAGTGCTGTTTAAAGCTTTTCTTTTTTCTTCTTCTTCTTCGAGGGAAACTGATCACTGATCACATTCAGGTGCAAACAGAGAAACTAGGAAAACGTGGGTTTGACAATACAGAGTTTTATAATTAACTTGTTTGACAAATACTCCTCATGCAGATCAACAGCTGATGCAGTTTGACATTTTTCAGGGACCTGCACAATTTCTGGACATCCTCTCAATCCCTCACAGCCCACCTTCATCAGACTCTTCCTCTTTCAGGTCCCAGCCCTGTTCAAACAGTGGTGCAGCAGCAGGCAGTGCTAATAGAGACATAGCTAGCTGAATGCAGGCTGATCACAGCGGCTCTTTTGTCCGTGGCATGGTCTCTGTCTGATAGGGAACGGCCATGCGAGCAGAGCTCCAGAGAGGGATATGGTAATGCCCCAGCTGAGTCTATAAAATGGGGGTGATACTCTAAGACCACATGATGGACAGAGGATAAATGAGTCACAGAGGATGGGGAGCAGGGACGAGAGGACACAGGTGGAGGGAAGAAACCAGATCTTTCAGAAAAATATTCTTTCTTTAGTGAAAAAAAAAACTGGAAAAAAACTGCAAACCTTTCATCCAAAACTCACACTTAAAAAAAGACGAGCATTATCAAAATATGGGCAACATCTGTATGAGTGACTTCTACTTTCATGGCATGCTTTTTCAACTGCCTGCAATGTGGGGAGCTTGTGGCCAGGCTGTGATAGCGGTACCTCACATTATCAGCAGGCTCCACAGTGTGATGTGTGGATCACAAACCCAGCCTCCTCCATAGCTCTCTAATTAGGTGTGAGGTAATTGAATCTAAAAGAACAAAGCAGCAGATCTCTATAAGCATGGAAATCATTTTTTGCACCCACCTATACCGTATTTCATCCAAAAGGTCCATTGAAAATGTGTCCAAGCTGGTCTGGGGATAAAACGTAGCACCTGAGACTAAACATGAATGCACAATGCGGCCCCTAAAAAATCCGAGAGGGCCACACAGCCCAGCTTGTGGCAGCTCTGCTGATACCGGGACGAACTCGCATACCTGTGACGGTGGCACAGGAGTTAAGTGCTCGCCTCGTAATCGGAAGGTTGCAAGTTCGAGCAGAGCTCAGTGTGTTCTTGAGCAAGACACTTAACCCCCCTTGCCTGCTGGTGGTGGTCGGAGGGACCGGTGGCGCCAGCGCTCGGCAGCCTTGCCTCTGTCAGTGCACCCCAGG